AGCCCTGATCTTTGCTACAAAGTATCCAGCTTCAGCAGAATAAGGGATGGTCTCACTGTTAACAGAGCCGTGCTCAGAATAAGGAGCTAAAATAGTTGGATTATTATCATTTTCATCGAGGATTAAAACATTAACAGTCACGTTGCTGCTGAGCGGAGGAACACCAGAGTCTGTAGCCTGAACTTTAAATTGAAACGTCTTTAACTCCTCAAAGTTAAACGACTGTAAACTTATAATGTCTCCAGTCTCTGAATTAATATTTACCATAGACGACAGCTGCATGTTGCCATTACTTTCAGCAACTGAAAAACTCACTTGAGCATTCTGATCAATGTCCGCATCTAATGCAGATACTCTTTTTAAAACAGTCCCTACTGGAGCGTTCTCTTTTAAATAAACATTGAACACAGAGTCTGAAAACTGTGGGTAGTTGTCATTCACATCGGACACAAAAACTGTAAAATCCTTTGTGCTCGTCAGAGTGGGTTTTCCGTCATCTGAAGCAATGATGGTCACATTGTAATATGAATCGGCCTCTCGGTCCAGCTGGCTGTCCACCACCAAAGAGTAATAATTTTTATAATTCGTTTCTAACTTGAATGGGGTTTTATTTTTAACGTTGCAGTGAATTACTCCGTTTTTACCCCCATCTTTATCTACGACTGAGACAAGTGCAATAGCTGTTCCCAATTTTGTGTCTTCTTTAACGGTGTCAATCAGAGTGGTTACAGATATTTCGGGAGCATTATCATTTAAATCGTTCACTTCTATCAGCACCTTGCATTGTGAGGTCATAGGAGGATACCCTCTGTCACTGGCCTGAACGCGTATCTCAAAAACCGGGTGCTCTTCATAGTTGATGTTTCCTTTCACAGTTATTAAACCTGTATGTTCATCAATTTGAAAGATGTCTAAAATGTGGTCTTGGTCTTTGCTGCTAAGTGAGTAGGAAATCGCTCCGTTTGGCCCTTCATCGTCGTCTGTCGCTATAACTGTGATCACCGACGTACCAAGTGGCGAATTTTCGGTAATACTTGATTTGTATAAAGGTTGGGCAAATATTGGCACGTTATCGTTATTGTCTAAAACATGTATTATTAACTGTGATGTTCCGGATTTTACTGGTGTTCCTCCATCCACAGCAGTCAGCGTCAGACTAATAACAGACTGCTTCTCTCGGTCTAAAGGTTTTTGTAGAATGAGCTCAGCAGACACTTTCTCTCCTTTGTTCACCGATAAGGAGAAATGATCATTTGTACTCAGCTTGTATGTGCTGATATCATTTTGTCCTACATCTGCATCATAAGCTGACAAAACCAGAAATTTAGTCCCAGGCAGCGTGCTTTCTGCTATTTCAATATTTTGAGAATTACTAGTGAAAGATGGAAAATTGTCGTTAACGTCTATAACATTTATCTCTAAACGATAAAGCTTCAAAGGAGAATTAATTACAGCTTCGACGCTCACTGTGCATTTCTTTGCCTTTGCACAGAGCTCCTCTCTGTCTATTCTGTCGTTGACAAAGAGAACACCTGTCTTGAGATTTACCTCGAAGTGCTTTTTCTTTGCTCCATTAACAATTTGAAACATGCGAGCTTCCAACTCGTGCACGCCGAGGTTTAGATCTTTGGCGATATTTCCCACTGAGGTTCCCGGATTTACCTCTTCCGATATGGAGTAAGAGAACTGCCCGGACACCGAAATCCATCCGCAGCCAAGGAGAATAAATAATGTGAATGTCAACACAGGAATATCTTGAATTGAATTCATAATCCGACCGGAAGAAAAAAATAAACGAATAAATCCTCCACTGTAGATCCAGCAAAAAACGAAAGCTATGTCGCTTTCTTTTCAAACAGTCCTCAGCAAAGCTCATATGCCGTAGTGTACCCTCTATGCTTCTTCGTCGCTTTGTGCCAAAGCCCAAGAAAACATCATCACGTGTGAAAAGGGACGGAATTCAGTATTCAGTTCAATATATAAAGGGCAACAGCGCCCCCTGTTGTCGTTTATCTTTATTGCACAATAAGGCAAAAAGGAAAGATAAATCATTACAGTATATATATATATATATATATATATA